TACTAATTACAGAGGGGGCCACTAGGACACCTAGCATGGCTAGGCATTTCGGGCAGACTTAGATTAATTTTAAACTTTAAATTATTACAGATTATGGTATTAAGGCAAGTGACTACATTATAGTTTGTGAGTTTAGCAATGTGAATGCTTTTGTTTTGGCACAATACATAGTTGTCTATATTGGAGTATCATAGGCAAATTATGACTAGCTAGGATTCATTATTTTAAGATTAAGATTTGTATTTCTGTGTTTGTAGTCAATGGGTGAGTGAGTGTAAGTGTGAACCACCAGGTGGTTTACATGTAGTTAGTTGACAGGGTGTATCAGGGAGATAAGATGTTTTCTAACTGTAGTTTTGAAAGTGATGAATGTGTCTGCAGTTCTAGAATTTTCAGGTAGGGTGTTCCAGATTTTAGGCCTTTGACACACATTGAATTTTTGTAAAGGTTTAGTTGGACACAGGGAATGTCATAGAGATGTTTGTGTCTGTTGTTATGCCTGTGGGCCCTGTCACAACTATCAAGAAAGTGTTTTAGGTCAAGGTTAATATTGGAATTTAATGTCCTGTAGATGTAGATTGCACAGTAGTAAGTGTGGATGTTCTGAACAGGGAGTAAGTTTAGATCTATAAAGAGTGGGGGAAGGGGGTGTTGCCAGGGATAGGATTCAGGGATTATTCTTACTGCGCCTTTATGTTGGGATATTATTGGCTTTAGATGTGTTGCTGCAGTTGATCCCCAAGCACAAATAGCATAGGTGAGGTATGGATAAATGAGGGAATGGTATAGTGTGAGAAGGGCAGTTGCAGCACATAATATCGTATTTTGGAGAGGATCCCACCGTTTTGGATACTTTTTTTGTTATGTGTTGGATGTGGATGCTGAAATTTAGGTTGTTGTCGAGGTATAGACCTAGGAATTTGCCCTCATTATGTCTGGCAATTAGAGTGTTGTCGATCTTAATGTTAAGTTGCGCAACACCTGCTCTGCTACCAAACATAATGTAGTAGGTTTTGTCAGTGTTAAGTGTAAGTTCATTGGCTGTCATCTAAATCAGAATTTTGAGCAGCTCCTCATTGACAATGGTGTTGAGGGTGGCAAGATTAGAGTGGGAGATGACGTAAGTCGTGTCGTCAGCAAAGAGAATGGGTTTCAGGTGTTGGGATACATTTGGAAGATCATTAATGTAAATGAGGAAGAGGGAGGGGACCAAGGACACTTCCCTGCAGAACTCCAGTATCAAGTGGCCATTTGATGAGGCTGTCTCTTTAATGGTGACATAGTGATACCTATTAATAAGGTAGGATTTGAAATATACAAGCGCATGGCCTCTTATACCATAATGGTCAAGTTTGTGAGTAGGATGCCATGGTCTACTGTGTCAAACGCTTTTCTTAGGTCAATAAAAATTCCTAGCGGATATTCCTCATTTTCCAATGCTGTGTAAAGCAGATCTAGCATTTTTACACCTGCATCATTAGTGCTTTTATTTTTCCTGAATCCAAATTGGCAGGGGTTGAGTACGTTTTGTGCCGTTATAAATGAATATAGTCTCCTGTGCACGAGTTTCTCAAAGATTTTGGATAGCAATGGTAAGTTTGATATTGGCCTATAGTTGTTTACATCTGTAGGGTCACCACCTTTATGTATTGGTGTAACCCTTGCTGTCTTGAGTAGTTTCTAGTGACTTGTTAAAAAGTAATGTAATAACATGCGAAAGGACATGGGCCGCTCACTTGTACAATAATGATGGGACGTGAGACAGATTCCCCGAGTTATTTTTGAGTGACTTTATAACTGCGGTGACTTCCGTGGGCTCAGCTGGTACAAGATAGAGGGAATTTGGAAAATTCCCATCTAGGTAGTCCCCGGCACGGGCGTTGGTATGTGGGATTTTACTGGCGAGATCAGATCCTATGTTTGAGAAGAAGTCGTTTATCTTGTTAGCTGTATCAGTGGGATGCAGTGGTGTTTCCTTAGGTTTGGTTAGGACAATATTCTTATTTTTTTTTCAGTTTGTGGGTCCCTAAAATCTGAGAGAGTGTTTTCCAGGTCTTTTTTATATCTCCTCTTGTGTCAGTGAATCTGCTGGAGTAGTACAGTTGTTTGGCTTTCTTTATTAATTTGGTGAGAACTGATGAATATTGTTTAAGAATATCTTTGTGCATTAAGCCCTGTCTATATTGCTTTTCATATTGGTGTTTCTTATCAATGGATTTCAGAATGCTGCTGGTTAGCCATGGGCAATCGAGCCCTTTATTCGTGATCTGTTTCATTTTTATAGGACAATGTTTGTCGTATAGTCTAAGTATTTTGTTAAGAAAAATGTCTGTCCAATCGTCAATACCATTGGAATTGGAGAATTCTGTGGCCAACCTGTATTAAGTGAGCAATATAGCTAGGCCTAAAATATGCATATATAGTACACACATTACTTACCTGAACCCTTTCACTGTTGAGACCCCTACTCAGAAACTTGCTCTCTGTGTCAAAGAATTTAAAAAAAAAAATATTTTTTCTTATGAAATAATCTTTTCCCGATGGTAATGACACCAAAAGTATGAAGTTTGATGGAAAACTTATGGAATTATGCTCTCACGAAGTTAGCAGTCTCAGTGATATTTATGCATCGGCGATTTTGCCCACTTTGAGTCCTATTTTCGGCCAATTCCATTGTTCCAGTTGACCAAACTCTTAGTTATTTTGCTAGAACTCCTTTTGTTCTATCAATTGAGTACAAGACACCACCCATTTACTGATTTCAACTACCCAATAAAGTGATCAGAAATTGGTAATTTGGCCAATTTCATATACAAGTCAAGGAAGGCCAATTTCAAAATATGGTCCAGAATTAACAATGCAAACATTCCTAGCACTAAAATAACATTTTCTCTCTTCATTAGTCATGTCTCTAGGTCCCTCTTATATCAGGCTGGCTTTCCATTTTGAACTTTTATTCACACACAACATAGAAGATTTATTGTTATGCAGAGTAATGCATTATTGTAAAAAATGGTATAAATAATATCAGCACATTTCTGAAAGCATATTAGACCCACCAGGTGACGTATATTGGACGCTTGACGTGATTTGTTTACTCTTGAACATCAGCAAAATCAAACATTTCCTCTACTTTGAGCTCAATTTCGAGGTACTGTACTGTACTTTTAGTCTATAAACCATTCAAAATCATCTCTAGTTTTGTAACATATCTTCCATTCTATCAAATGAGACCAAGAAAATGAGACTACAACTCGCCAAATTTTCAAAAAAAAAAAAAAAAAAAAAAAAAAAAAAAAAAAAAAAAAAACTTATGAAAAGATAGAGAACTTTCCTGATCATAATGACACCAAAAGTATGAAATTTGATGGGAAACTTATGGAATTATGCTTCGCGAAGTTAGCAGTCTCGACGATGTTTACCCATGGCGATTTTGCCCACTTTGAGCCCTATTTTTCAGCCAATTCAGTGTAATAGTCGACAAAAATCATAACTATTTCACTAGAACTCCTTTTTTCTATCGAATGAGTACAAGAAACCACCCATTTACGATTTCAACTATCCAATAAAGTGGTCAGAATTTAGCAATTTTGCCAATTTCAACAAATTTCAAAAGATGCCAATTTCCAAATAGGGTCCAGAATAAAACAAGAAAGACATTCCTGGCACTAAATAACAAGTTCTCTGTTCGTTGTTACATTTCCAGGCCCCTCTTATATTTCTTTGGCTTTCCACTTTGAATTTTTATTCTCACAAAAAATAAGAAATTTACTGTTATGCAGACTACTGCATTAGTGTAGAAATGGTATAAAAAATATCAGCGCACTTGTGAAAGAATATTAGACTCACCAGTTGATGTGTATTGGATGCGTTAGACTCGATTTGTTTACTTTTGAACTTTGGCAAAAATCGAAGATTTCTGCTACTTTGAGCTAATTTCAAGGTACTTTTCATTGTAAAACCAATCAAAATTGTCTCAATTTCTGTAATATGTCTTCCATTCTATAAAATGAAACCAGGAAAACTAGAATACCATCATAAATACCATACGAAAATACAGTGCAAAGTCGCTGTTTTAAACCAAAAACACTGAAAGTTTTTTTTTTCTCATTACGCACTGTGTAGCTGCAGGATTTTTTTTTATACTGCACACACTAACCACATAGGACCCATTCTTTCATATGTAGGGCCTACCAGCTTTCTCTCACTAGATTTAGGGGCGAAAAGAATTTAGGCGTACTAGTACGTCAAAAACCCTGGTGTGCAAGCCGTACTAGTATGTCAGAAACCATGAAAAGGTTAAACAAAAAAACACGGTCAGAGTTTTTTTTTTCTCGTTATGCACTGCGTGCTGCAGGATTATTTTTTTTATACTGCACACGCTGACCACTCAAACCCATTTCTCTCATATGTAGGCCTACCAGCTTTCTTCCGCAAGATCTGAAACCGCTAGAATTTTGGCATATTACGGGACCGACACTGACTTGCAAGCCCCTAATATTACAGGATGACAGTGAAAGGGTTAAAATATTTTCATCCTTAGCTTTCAGTGAGTGGTGAATACATTTATTGTAGGAAGTCTGAATAAAGGAAGAATGGGTATAACTGAAAACTGTTGTATTAGTGAAACACTGCAAAGCAAAGTGCTGTAAAGCGAGGCCTGCCTGTTTAAAATAAGATTTCGTTCGGATTTTTTAACCCCGGAGGGTTAGCCACCCAGGATAACCCAAGAAAGTCAGTGCGTCATCGAGGACTGTCTAACTTATTTCCACTGGGGTCCTCAATCTTGTCCCCAGGATGCGGCCCCACACAGTCGACTAACACCCAGGTACCTATTTGCTGCTAGGTGAACAGGACAACAGTGTAAGGAAACGTTGTCAAAATGTTTCCACCTGCTGGGAATCGAACCCGGGCCCTCCGTGTGTTTAAGGGGGAGCTTTAGCCACTAGGCCACAGTAATTATAGAGTGAAGCAATATAATAAACAAAGCTAGTCCTCACCTGTAGTAGTCTTGCTATGGAGAGGAACATGATGCCATATAAGAAGCCATTGTACTGGAAGTGTATGTGGTCAATTAACAGAAGCCCAGCATTACCAAACAGAATGAGAAAGAGCAGGTACACTACATCCTCTCGCCTGCCACAGGATCGGCTAACTTGCTCACAGCACCTGCAGACAAAAGTGAGAAACACCCTAGTGCACATCAATTCATATCATAAATATTATAATAAATCTTTGAAATTTTTATTAATACAGTTAATAAAAAGAGATATCTGCAAATTTTTCACCAAATGCAATGATATTTTTTGCATATTCATTTTAAGCAAAGTGTGGTAAGTTCATAGCTGCTTGGTGGATACTGGTCATGAACTGTAGGTATAATAATTACAATGGATGGTGTTCACAAGTAGAAATGGTCCTTCCTACATGTGTCCGAGGTGGTGGCAGCTGCTGCTGCTGCTAAGGCACATACTACTATAGCAACACAAATCCTCCACACACTACTCACCCAATCACATTCATACTACTACAACCCTCCCACACCACATGTCTGAAACTTCTCACCTTCACCACAAGAAAGAGGGAACAGACGGCATATGTAGTGCTGTGTACATATGATGAAATGAAGGACAGAATAGAAGAGAGGGAAACAATGGGAGAGAGAAGGAATGGGAGAGAGAAGTAATCAGAGAAAGAAAGGGAGGTGTTGGGAAAGAGGGAGAAGAAGAAAAAGAGAGGGAAGGAAAGAGAGACAGGAACCCATCTCAAATGAATACATTATTTTTAACTTCATTGTTAAACAATAAATTAAAAACAGAATATCACTGTCCTGGAATGCCTTTTATGAGGAAACATTTGAAGTACTGAACACTCTTAATTATAAATGGTTTTCCAGAACATATCTCAACTGTTTGCTGGAGACTATGTATTTAGATCAGAGGCTCCTCAGGTGACTATTCTTGAGTTGAAGGCCAGGTAGTCCATTAGCAGTGATACATTAGTGAGAGGTGTTAGTGCATCAAAGAGTGACTCCTCACACACATTTCTATTCTCATGTCAAAACATAGAATATTCTACTTTGCAAATTATATTGGAGAATAAGGATACACCCCTGGTATAATAGATACAGTATGTGAGCATATTTCCTGCCACTTGACTACTCACTGCCCCCCATTGTAACTAAACGAACTTCCACTGCACTTTTCCCAAAAAGCAACAAAACACAGCATACTAATATACTGTACAGTATACATGCATGGATGGCTATTTAGTGATTGTTAAATGACTTATGTACTGTACTGCAATTGTTGAAAAATTGGGGTTAAATACTACATTGTCCTTCCTGAAACTCTGATTTCCTCCATGAGTTTCTGGGAACTAAATTTTTCGACCATTTATTCCAAATCACAAGTTGTTATTTTAACATGTTGGACATTTTCCACTGAGGCAGGATGACCCAAAAAGAAAGAAAAAAGCCCAAAAAGAAAGAAAAAACTTTCATAATTATTCAACACTTTCACCATCACTCATACATAATCAATGCATTTGCAGAAGTGCTCAGATACGATAGTTTAGATGTTCCTCCAAACTGCCAATATCCCAGACCCCTCCTTTAAAGTGCAGGCACTGTACTTACCATTTCCAGGACTCAAGTCCGGTGAACTGGTTTCCCTGAATCCCTTCACAAAATACTACCCTGCTCACACTCCAACAGCTCGTCAAGTCCCAAAAGCCATTTGTCTCCATTCACTCCTATCTAATGCATTCATGCATGCTTGCTGGAAGTCCAAGCCCCTCAACCACAAAACCTCCTTTACCCCATACCTCCAAAATTTTCTACATAATATTCACACCACACATTTACTGAACAGGGCCCTTTTTCCCCTGCCTCCAGTCTCCTCCTCACTGCAGCATTTACAACCCAAGCTTCACATCCATTAAAAGGGGTGTACACCATACTCTTGTACTTCCCTTCTTTGCCTCCTGGTTT